AGCGAGTTCTAGGCAACATTTATGTGTACAATTAAACATTAATGACACGTACGCCGTGAACACTATTTGAACGTACCCACGATTCGTTATTGGTTTGAACACTTCTGATATGGAAATTTTGCTCAAATAATGTATCCCGTGGTCGCTTGAAAACTAAATAGTCAACAACGACGTATTAGATTAGCGATAAAGAAAGCTGAAGATACTCAATTGCGTCAAATTGGCCAGGTAAAAAAAACAGCCAGCCAGAAAATATCGCCAGAAAAGATCGCCAGCGCAGCAATCACGTTAAGGTATACTTACCTAGCGTTGCTTAACAGTCATAGAAACGAAAGGCTTTTGAACCGCATTGTCATTTGCAAGTAAAAATGGCTTCTTTGTGATAGTCATAAGCTGTCATCATGTTGGCTAAGGTTTATGGTTCAGCACCTAAGTAATGCTCTAAACGAAAACTTACCCCTAAGTAAGTCACGGACACTGTTTGGTGGTCTAGTGCCGGTATAACTCATTACAGCTTTTTACCCAATGGCACTAGCATTACTGCGGATATGTACCCTGAGGGAGTGGACAAAATGTTGAAAAAGCTTGCGAATCTCAGGCCAGCCATAGTTAATCGCTCGTTCCCGCTACTCCTTCTACAACCCTAAGCCTCATACGGCACAACAGAGGTCTTTAAGCTACAAGAGCCAGGTGTGGAAGATATACGTCATCCACCGTACTCGACAGACCTAGTGCCGATAGACTTTTACTTTTCCAAAGTTTGGATGACTTCTTGGCCGGGAAAAATCAATTCCCGAAAGGTAGTGCAAAATGCCTTCTAAGAATTTGTTAACCCCATACATCTTTTTTTTTTTTTTTTTTTTTTTTTTTTTCGGGTAGGTGGCCGAACCTCCTACGAGGTCAGAACCCGGATGAGGTAGGGGGGCTACCGCGGTCAACACTACAACCAGACGGCGCGGCTCACCCCAAGGACGCCCAGCCGACGGAGCCTTCGAGGCGAATCGAAGGCTCTGAAACGTCGGCCGTCTCGGTACGGCAGCCCGTCGGGCCGCCCAGACGGTGCCGCTGGTGTCCCGGAATACCCCGCTGGACCAAAACCNCGGGTCGCGATTCCGATCCGGTAGTAGATTCATTCGCGAAGCAGCTACTCTTGAGTTGTTAGGTCTCCTTCGGAGGCGCTCGGGCAGCTGTTAGCAAATCCCACCCCTCCTGGCTGAGCCTTTGCTCGCCCACCTGTCCTGGTGAAACTGGAAAGGCCTCCGGGCCACCAGTAATCCTTCAATCATAAAAAAAAAAAAAAAACTTACCTAGCGTTGTTTAACAGTCATAGAAACGAAGGGCTCCTTCCATAACCCTAAATCTCATAGGCACAACAGAGGTCTTTAAGCTACAAGAGCCAGGGGTGGAAGATATCCGTCATCTACCGTACTCGCCAGACCTAATGCCGACAGACTTTTACTTTTACTTTTACAAAGTTTGAATGACTTCTTGACCGGGAAAAAATCGATTCCCGAAAGGCAGTGAAAATGCTTTCTAAGAATTTTTTAGCCCCCATACACTTGACTTCTTCATGAAAGGCATTGAAAAATTACCACCGTACTGGCAATGATGCATCGATACTATGGGTGCATATTTTGATTGATAGAAATAAAATATATTTATAAAAAAATACTAACTTTCTGTACATATACTAAACGGCTATTTCGTAGGTTAGGTACCTAGGTAGATTAGGTTAAGACCTTAGATATAGTTTTCATTTGAAAAGATAAAGTACAAAGAGTAGGTACGCCACAGACTTTATTGAAGTTACAGCGACTTTTTAATCTAAGCATTTTGAATATGGGTTTTTAGCAGGTTGCTGATAGTAGCATGGATCTGGTTGTGGACCGGAGCGACTGTTCGCGTGACTCAGGGAATATTTACGTCCGTATTCTGATTGACCTTGACCTTGGTGATCAGAAAATTTCCAACCTATTAATTGATTTGTAGTTTGGTCTAAATTGTATTTTTCGTTGGGTGTTTTCATTTTTCTTGCAATGAGGTACTGACTTCGTCCGCCATTTGGTAAATCACCATATAACATTTTTTGTACTTCAGCTTCAACTGGTTTCATAATTTCATCGTTTTTTAAACTGTTAATAGTTTCTTTTATAAACCTGCAGTATTGTGTATCATTTTTTGGTCTATGAACTTTGTACGTAAATTTAATAGGATCCTGTCGAGGGGCCACTTTTCGACGATTAACATTATTTTCTAAATGTTGCCTAGAAAGGGTTTTTAGTAACATTTCTATTGGTTTTCGAATAACATCTTCTAAGTGGTATCCTTTGTAATCTGCTGAAAACTTAAGCCTTTTAGAAATTTCCTCATGATTTCTTATGAACCAGGCTACACGGCTTTTAGTCTCTTTTTCAAAGTTTTCACTTAAGAATTTAATTATATATGGATTTGAATAATCTAGTGGCATTACAATTTATTTTTAAATATGATATTGATTATTGAAAAAAAAAAGAAACCTACGCTATAACTATGTATATTGTGTACATTGTACACAAACCTAGAAGTAAATAACATGAAAAGTCGAACTGACAGATAACATTTATAAAAATATGTTGTAATGAGTTCTAACAAATTAATATTTATGTATATTTTTAGTGTTTATAACAGGTACTTACTGCTCACGTCTTTTACTGCCGAGTTTTAAATGTAATCACAATTATTGGAGAACCTATTTCGCAATTAGATATTATTATGTACCCAATTTATATCTTCATTATTTTTATTGCTTAAATGGGTGATCGAGTTCACGACCCACCTGGTGTTGAGTGGTTACCGGGGCTCATAGACATCTTTAACGTGAATGCCGCTATGCGTCTTGAGAGATGAGTTCGAAGGTCTTAAGTTTTACAGTACAACGCCTGTCCCACCGTTCAAACCCATAGTATTACTGCTTCATGGCAGATATAGGAAGGGTGGCGTACCTAGCCGTGCGGAATCAGAATACGTCTTACCACCAATGATTACGCAAATTATAATTTTGCAGGTTTGGTATTTATTATACGATATTATTCTTTTACAGCGGAAGTTAATCGTATGTATTTTATTAGAAAAATTGGGACTTGCCTACTGGATTCGAACACCGTGGTATCGCTTGATACGAATGCAATAAAATAATTCACTGAGTATGAACATTTATTGCACTTGGTTGTCGACGGTAGATAATTAATCGATGCGGATAAAATATAGCTTATTAAACTGAAGGCGGTAAGTTTTTTCTGATTAATTTGGGAGTCGATTAACAATGATACTGTGACTAGTTACGGTATTAGTCTCGTTCGACTTTAGTTGACAAGCGACTTTTGGCGGGTAATTAGCACCAACGATAATGTTATTGCTATTAGACCGTATGATTTGAGCGTGACCTAAGCGGATGTTAATCGGTTTAACTAATGTCATAATGATGTATTACCGTACCGTAGTTTAGCGATAGTATAATATAAAGGCTTCGTCAAACAGACCGCGTACTTAGCGCTGCGTTATAGCGTCGCGTTCTAACGTCGCGCTCTTCGTGTGTCATGTCACACAAATTGACTTGAGTCCGACGCTTCTTGACGCAACGTATTCGCCAAATTATAGCGCCTTTCGATAGCAGTGTAAAAATTTAAAAGATGTCGAGTGATTCAGATGTGGAAGAATTTTTACTTTTATATGCTCTACCACGGTCACAGAAATTTGTTCCCACAATTTTATCTTAATTGTTACATTTTTATAAGAATTATCCTTCGTATTGTATTCTTCTTCTTCTCCATCGCTCCCTCATTGCTAAGGATCGTGACTCCGTTTTAGCTTGTCGACTGTCAGCCTCCATCGGTTCCGGTTAGTTGCCTGGTGTAGTGCAGCGCTAAGTGGTCCGCTGGTTTACGTATTGTATAAGCATGGGTATTTCCTAACTAATTCTCTTAATTTTTCAGACATTATCCAGTATTTTAACACACATTCACTCGGACGCTAAAATAAAATTTGTAAAAAATTACAACGCCTGACGTCAAAGCGTCCTAACGCCGCATCAGAGCGTTGCGACTGCTAGCGCTGGCGCTCTGTTTGACAGTATATTAACATTGTAGTACAACACATCTCGGCGTCATAGCGCGGTGTTAGTTTAGCGCTCTGACGCGCGCTAATTACGCGTTCTGTTTGACGAAGCCTTAAGTGATTTTTTTGGATTAGGAGAAAGTTGCCGGATTTCCACCTAGGTGAGATATATCGACAATAAAGACCCTAGTCGCTCAACAACCTGCGCCCAAGCGCATAAGTCGAGTTGAGTGGTATATTATACTCGTGCTAAGTGGTATAATGAATGTGCACGGGTAAGTACTATAGCGGTAATTGCTGCCGCGAAGCACATTTAAATAAATTTCAACTTAAACTTCATTGTAGATTGACTTCATAGTACTTGCTGAATATCCAAATTTATTCTAAAAGGATCCACAATCTTGAGATGAATCAGCAAAAGAAATTCAGCGAACTCTTTTGTATTAAATAATTATTATATGTAGCAGTTTTGCGGACTTTTGCGTTTCGGCATGAAGAATAATAGTACAACCGTTAAGCAATATAATTAATATTGCAAGTTTAATGTTTCAAAGTCTGTGATAGCATCTACTAATGTTCATCCAAGGTAATTCAAAATTAAGTTATATTTAGAAAATAAGTTATCCGTTTGGTATTAGTTATTCATTTTTTATGTTTTATTTTGAATTTTAAGTAAGGCATGCGTATCGGTAATTTATTAGCAGAAACTGTTGCGGAAATCGGCCTAAAATAACCAGGATGGCTGTGAGTTTGTTTGTTGATTTAGTTCGACAAAGAAAATCCTGACGATCTTAATATAATATAGGTATAGTTCACATGCAATGTTGCTGACGATGATGTCGAAGACAGAGCGAATACTTATAATCAAGGTACGAAAATTGAAAGGAAGGAAAAAAATTGTTAAGTAATCAATTCAAACATTTTGTAGGTCCTGGAGGGTCTGAATCTTTGTAATGGTCCGGATCTGGATGAGGTCCAGTACGACTTTTCACATCTCTGGTTAAACGCCAAACACGGCCGCACCTATGCGGGTTTCTTCTAAAGAAACTGTCTTCCAATCTCCATCCATATACCCATCCGCTACATTCATTAAAGTAGTATTTGGCTTCTGGAGCTATTTTGCTTCTCTTCGACAGATATACCTTTCTTCCGAAATTCGGTATATCCTTGTAAATTATAGCCTTTTGTTCTGGAGGAACCGGTCTCATTATAGGATCAGCCGAAAGATCTGTATCTGATCGCTTCAGTCGTGGATCTTCAGCAGGATCGCCCAGGCCGACATCTACTATAGAATTGCCTTTTTTCATAAAGGATATTCCTGGTATCTCTTTTACATCACGTATAGGCTTACGTCTTCTATTGTATCCAGCTACCTCGTGATCTCTTGTTATGGTTGCCATCCCTCCTATCATTACATTTTCTAAAACGTCTGATTCAAAATAACCTTTTGGCTCTCGATTGAGGGTAGCGGCTTTTTTCAGTTTATTGGAATGTATACGATTCCATTTCATTCGCAAAAGCGCTGTTTTGTCATAGTTCTCGATTAAAAATTTTATTACATCTGGATTCGTAATATCAACAAGAGGCATTTTTATGGTCTTAGTACGTATTTCAAAGTAAACAACATATATATTACAAGTAATAAATTACTGTAAACTTGTCCAAACAGAAATATTATCATAAAAGCAAATGTATATCTACAATGGCTACGTTTTAATGAAATGACAAATAATGACAATTTCAGTACCTATCAGATAATTTAGTAATAGGCCAGAACGTTTCAAGAGGTTTCAAGTCTGTCTTGAAGAATATTTAAACTAGCTTATAACTATATTTCAGTTAGATGTGTGAAAAAAACAAATCAATTTTAAAATCTAAAATATGGTATTTAACTGAATACTCATACACTGAAATAGATATGAGAATAAATTAAGTTATTAATATATTCTCTTAGCAAATGGATAAGTTTAAAACGTCCGTATTGTCCTCTATTTTAACGAATGAGCTTTTTGAACAGAAGAAATATACACAAAATTTTGATTGACGTTTATAAGCAAAGAGTACGTATAGTATATTTTCTATGGTCTATATTTTTAAGCAATCGTGTCAAAAAGAATTTAATTGTTACGTGGATTATATAGCAAAGTTTTGCTTACACTAAGCATTTTATACAGAGCACACATTCCAGATTAACCGAGTTAAGTTAGTAAGTTTATTTGTTTGGACGAGCTGAGAACGAAGTGTCATCCAGAATATTTCATAATGCCACTTATGGACGTAAGTAACCCTAAAGTTATTAATTTTCTCATAGAAAATTACGAAAAAGAAAGCAGATTACGTGCTAAGTGGTTTAATCTGCACAAGGAAAAGATACAGAAATGCGCAACGCTAAAAGTAGATACTAAGAATTATACTCATAGTGATATCGCCGAAGCTACTATGATCAGTGGCATGGAAGCTATCACACGAGACCACGTTTCTGCTGTAGTCCATAGATTCAGAAAACCAGCTCCAGATTATTTATTAGCTAAGGTAGAAACGGTTAGAAAAATTCAACCTCCAATGATAGCTGCTACAAGTTCAGAAAAAAATATACTAAAAGAAAGTAGAAAATCATATTTAAATATGAGGAATAAGAGAGATCCAGACGATAAGTATCTGTACATGGAGAGTGAAAACTGGAAATACGGTTGGAAGTTGAATGAGAGTGAATTGAAATTGAGAGGACCAGAACATGGAAAAATAAATCACCTGCTACACAGCTTAGTAAGCCGTGTAGGACCCCAACCAGATCCAGTGCATTACGCTTTGCCCGATACCGGCTACGAATGTTGTGGTGGAAGTATTTAAATGCATAATGCGTGCAATGTTTTTGGAACGAAGTTCCTTATGGGACTATGCCGAGGGATACCTTAACCGGGAAAAAACGTCCGTAACGTAAGATTTTTATTAGTAATGCACACAGTGTACGACTTAGCTTTGTAATAACGTACAAATTTTTTTTATCATTCATTGACCACGATCTCAGAGCCTTCGTTTGCCCAATACACTAACTCTTATGCAAACAACCGTGAATGAAGTGTACCACAATAAGTTCGCACGTTACCGAATGACCGTGGGTTGTTGCGAAACCTCCAGTTTTATTTTCTTTATACCTCCTAAATAGAACTTTAAATTAATATTTTTTTAATAAGGAACTTCGTTCCTATCCGGTGTCCAACGACACCACAAATCTTTTTTTTGTTTACATAAGTAAATGAATTCTATTTTCAATAAAATAATTCTTAAGTTTTTTGTATTATAAAATAATTAGTTTAACATTCGATGTTTTATTTACATAGCAATTACTTACACACAAAGATACATCTAGATTTCGTATAATAACATCGCATAAGTTTGAACAATTTTATTGGCTCTGTAGTTGATTTTAATAAAGGTTTTATGTACTAGTTTTTGTTTGCTTAATTTGTCTTTGTAACTAGAATGGGAAAGTGCACCGGTGTTCCATCGCCTAATTTCTTGGCAATAGCATTTATCATCTCTGGAGTAGCTTCCTTCAGATCATAGGCCCAACCTATTTTCTCGAACAACTTTATAAATTTAGTGCCAAAATTGAAGAAATCGAAATGCTCTGCAGCTTTGTAGTCGAATGGAAAAGCGTGATGATAGTTATGCCAGCCTTCACCCAGTGTGCATATTGATACGAATCTATTTTCAGCTGGAACTATATTTCTGGAAATAGGGAAATTTGACTGAAATTACAGCTGTGATTTTTAAAATAAATTATTTTACAATTTTACATACATATGGGTATACTTCAACACTTTCGGAAAAAACTTTCAATAAGTATCGCAATGCCGTTAATAAAATTGATTATTATTACATTATTATTATATGTATATGATATAAATATAATTTGAGTAAAAGAACTTACTTATTATAAGGTTTGTAACCAAATGTATGCGCAAGACTATTCACAGTGAGCTCACTATGAAACATGCCAAGAAACCTTATGAAGCATTGCCATGCCACAGCACGTTTCCATTCTTCGTTCCACAACAAAATCCCCAACATTGTTGGCAGAATATAGCAGAAAACTAGCTTCAGGGAGTTGAAGTTTCTGAAATAAGTTGTAAATAATGAGTCTTTTTTATCCACGAACATAAATCGATCTGGTTGGCTATAAATAGCTACAGCAAGACTTTTCATAACAAATTGGACCGCTATCATTCTGTTTTGTTGCTGTTTATGTGCAATTTATTGCTGTTATTGATGACAGTGACATTGTTCATGTTTAAACCATTTGCTTCTCTCATAGCATATGATGGTAAACTAAAAATATATTAATAAAAAACCTTAACTCAGGATCTTGACGGCCATTCCATGTACATTTTACTCGTTTAACTAATTCATGCGTGTCTAACTTAAATTGAAATGGATCGATGCCAAATAAAAGTTGCCAAAAATATTCAACTTTTCTGCAAGGATCTTTTACTGCTTGCGCTGAACAGACGTGCCTATAGGCAGGCCATCTGGTCAACGGAGGTCGTGGACATCTTAACGTCGTTTATTTATTTCTGAGTTTTGAGCGGAACTTGTAGGATATAGACCCAATTGGAGGCGTAAGGTCGAAGCCTAAATTATGTTTTAAAACGATTGCACCACACTTCGAATTTGAATGCATAATTGTTTCGTAATAGAAATACAATATAATATATTTTGGCGATCGCAATTTCTAATTCCGAGAATGTCCAGTCTCTGGCGTATTCTTAACGCATCTTTTACAGTACCTACGTTGGGAGTTGTAGCCCCCCAAAAACAGATCGGGCAATTTGTTAAAGATCGACTCCAGACACCTTAGAGCTCATATCATCTCAAGATGGGTGGCGGCATTTACGTTGTAGATGTCTATGGGCTCCAGTAACCATTTAACACCAGGCGGGCTGTGAGCTCGTCCACCCATCTATGCAATAAAATAATAATAAAAAAGCCAATGTAACTCACTTGTCATAAAACCTCAGAAATGGATCATTTTCAATATCGCTCATATCAATTTGTTTCCCTCTAAGTATAACTTCATTATTCTTCTTCATCATTAACCAGCCAATGTGTGAGAAAAATAATCCTCTATTCGCGTTATGTGGGTCCGCGTCGGTATCACTGAATTTATGATGTATTCTGTGATCGCGTACCCATTGGTATAAAGAGTTCTAGAAGAAATGAGAGGTGCGAATTTAATATTTGATATAAAAACGACAGAATGTTTTAGTGAAAACCTTGTTTTGTATTGGTATCGATATTTGTAATATATTCAATTTTATTTTGATAAGAAAAAAAATTTCACACTTCCTTAAGTAAGAAGCAACCGTACCTGCGTAGTATCTACATACATAATTAAAGAAAAAACAGCATTTAGAAGGAAATGTGTCAATTACAATATTTTTTTATAAAACTTTCGTTTTCTGAATTTTTCGTTATACAATTTGTAATTAGCCGATGCTATAATTTATCCTTCGAACTTTGCTATGTTGTAAATTCGTTCGTGATCTCAATAATAAATAAAGAATTAGAAAGTTGGTGTCAGCTATGTGCCATACATGATTTGCAATTCACCGTGGCTTCTAACGAAGCTTCCTATTTATTTAAATAAAAAACAGGTATTGTCGTGGCACAGAAACTTTTCTCGTAAGTTGGACTGTTCTGAGACTTCAGTTTGCTTTTGCTTTGGTACTGATGTAGTTAACAAATTAAATATGTTTTTGTCCAATCCAATATTTTACGACTTTTTATACCGTACCTAAACATATCTATACTTAATATTATAAAGCTGAAGAGTTTGTTTGTTTGTTTGAACGCGCTAATCTCGGGCACTACTGGTCCGATTTCAAAAATTATTTCATTGTTAGATAGCCCATTTATTGAGGAAGGCTACAAGCTTATGACATCACGCTAAGACCAATACAAATGGAGTACCAATAAATAATGTTTCAAAATCGGGGTTTTTATTCTTTTTGAGAGCTTCAGCTGCGCGCTCTGCGAAAACGGTTAAAATTTCGCTAAAATAATGCATGACAGAATTGTTCCCCTTTAAAAGATCTAAAAAAAGTCCGCAAATTTGTTCTGAAATAAAGCATTATTTCTGATGGTGATTTTATGAAGATGATATTAATCCCTATCCAAATAAATACGTTATTCATTACAAGATTTTAATGAGCACTTCGCTTTGGGTATTTTAATGAGTATGAGAAGATATCGCAGTTTTAAAATAACAACGCAGCAAAATAATGATCAAGCGCGTAATATTGATGTACAAGGCGCCAGCCGGCCGGTGCGTGGCGGCACAGAATAAGAACAATAACAAGAAACACCCAAATCACTTCAAGATAGGCTTTGAAAATTATAGATTTTTGTGGATTTCTCCAGATCCCATCATCAGGTCTTGATGATTATAGGACAATTCGGGAAGTCTACCCTTTTGAACAAAAAACAGAAAAGAGAATTATCAGAATCGGTTCAAGCATTCTCGGAATTGCTCATGATTTTGGTACCTTAAATAGTTCCTTAACATTTTATTATTCAAAAATATTTTCACTTTCTACGTAAATGAAGTCACGGGTAAAATTTAGCGTTATGCCAAAGTAATTATTCCACGCGGACGAAGTCGCGGGCAAAAGCTAGATCATTATAAAGGGTGTGAATCTGCAAGATCTATATGTAGAGATATTGTAGTACATATAATATATTTTAAATTTCTTATTACATATGTATATATGGAGAGAAAATTAGAGTATTATATGCCGTAATATGACTGACTGACTCGGTGGTGCAGTAGCTAGTCACTGACACACGCGCCGAGGGACGCGGGTTCGATTCCTAGAGCGAGAAAACATTCGTGTAATGAACAGGTTTGGTTGTCCTTTGTCTGGGTTTGATTTTTATATATGGATATTATATTTAAACGGTATATCAATCTTCTGTTTCCATAGAACAGAGAATCCTAGTTTGAGGCTAGATGACCCTGTGCGACTGGTCCCTGGTTATAATAACTATTATGATTAGAATTTTGCTCTCAATTAATTATTTCCGCAGTACGTACAAATATAAAGTTTTACTACATGATGTATACGTCCATATATGTATGTATATCTCGCAGTTTTACATCCTATAATTATTTTAAAAATATCAGGAATATTGTATTTGTAATGTTCAATAATTACCAGTTAACCTTATATGGGTTTTATTGCAATTTCAGATCCCGTAATTTCAGTGATATAATAAGAAACGAATTTTACATCTTCTGATTAAATAAACTACTATAAATATAGTATACATATACTTACTATAAATATAGTAATTTCTAAAAACAAAATAACTTTCTAAGCTCAAAGATTCATAAAAAAATTGTCTGATTTTTGTATGAGAGATAGTTGACTGAACCTACAAACTTTGTAACTAGATACGGCGAAATTTACCAAAACGCAGTTATTATTGAACCAGAATCTTTCCCCGGAATACGAATAATCGTACCGAGTTTCTGTTGAGTTGGGTAATCGACGCACGAATACACAGAGCAAATGAGCAAATAAATCTATAGTACTGATTTCATTTCCACCAAACGTAATGCTTTTGTTTACCCCCGAAACGAACGGCGATATGGACTATTTCTGCTGCAAAGTAGACAAGAGTTCTGGTTTGAAGGGCGGGACAGCCATCACATTGAGACTTTTTTTTTATAGCTTAGATGGGTGGACGAGCTCACAGCCCACCTGGTTTTAAGTGGAGCCCATAGACATCTATAACGTAAATGCACCACCCACCTTGAGATATAAGTTCTAAGGTCTCAAGTATAGTTACAACGGCTGCCCCACCCTTTAAACCGAAACGCATTACTGCTTTACGGCAGAAAAAGGCAGGGCGGGGGTACCTACCCCCGCGGACTTACATGAGGTCCTACCACCAGTAGAAGAGCCTATGACCTCTTATTTAAAGGTGGAAGAAGAGATTCACGTGACGTGAATGGTTACTTAACAGCCGGTAGTCTGCGAGGTCGTCCATGCAACCAGAGCAAAAATAAACATGCAACGTGATTATTTTATTAATTTACCTGACCAGCAGCGGAGAAGCATAAGAGCAAAAACAATTTTAGCGGGAGTTTTGCTTTGTACGATTTGTGTGTCCACAAGCGATGTGCTCCTCCCGTTATCCCGAAACCAGTCGCCACGTACATTATCGCAGCTAAAAAGTAAAATTATTTGTATACTATTTTTGGTAGCATAGTCGAACATCAGGGTTCACGGCCAAGCGTCAAGTGTTCATAGACTCTGAAATCTGAGGCATCCACTTTGATACTTTAGTATAAAGTTTCAGTTACGCTGGATTGATAACTAATTCCATAAGTCAAAACGGAAAGCATGTTTGATTCGTTGTTAAAATACACAGTATATTTGGTATTGCTCCGTTCCTTACGCAATCCTACTGGTACTAGTACTCAAGAAATAAATTAGGGTTACAAAGTAAGCAAACTTCCCCCGAATTACGAATTTCTTTGTGTCATCGGTGCCGTTATCATACATATACTAAAAAAGAAAATTTACAGGCAAATTAGTGTCGTAAGACTGCCTAAAACAAGACCAATGAGCCGATCTAAGAGGGAAGGCGTTGATTTCTCCGGGTATTTGTTTTGTCTCGTATTTCCAGCACCTATAACACGGAAAATCTGAGTATGGTCGTTGAATGTTGGGGAACACTCATTTATTTACCTCCTCTTATTACCTTGCATTCAACGATTATCGTATAATGATATATACAACTAATCACAATTATTGAATAATTAGAAAAATACATCGCTAATTATCAATTAATTAAACATTTAATTGATCATTAATTATTCTGTAGTTATTATATGACCTATTTATAAATAGGTATTACTTTATACATTTATAGTACTTTCTTCGGTTTTTGCGAATCATAGACGTAATTAAAAATACTTTTGCGGCTTAGTCTCGCGTTTTTTTATTGTTATTATTTTATATAATAGAAGTTTCGAATGTTTTACAGTTTTCGTAGTCGCGGACGACAAAAATGTTCTTAATCGAAATTCCAATATTCTCCAAGGATAAATTTAAAGCTACTATTATTACTATAAAATTATCTATTTTATTCATATATTAATCAAATTTCTTTTCTTTTTCTTTGTTTAGTAGCTACTGTCAGACTTTTGAGTTATTAATAAAAATGTGTAAATATGTAGTCCTTTTTTTTTTAAATATCAATGATAATGCCACATAAGAGAAAAACTTAATATATAATCTTGACCCAAGTCTTCAAGTGTTGGTGATTACTTTCGAATTTCGACAGTTGGGGAACGATAGTTAATCATTAATTAACGTATAATTTATTATATCATTACAGTAGGTATGTGTAGTATAATTTATCATCACTTACCGAAAACAACAGTCTGCCATTTTACTGGGAAAGCAAAGTTATAACACCAATAAGCTCCGATGACATGGTAAAGCGTTATTATAATAAAACTCGGCCATTTTATATCGTTTTGGAAGCCTAAGCTTTTTTCAAATGTTCTGAATATTTCACTAAGCGATCTCTCCGGTGTAATTTTTTTTTCCATTACTTTTTTATCCCTCTCCATTCTTTTGTGCTGGAGTTTAAAATAACTTCCTTGTTCGAGTTGTGTCCGAGGCAATTGTCGGCAGGTATTTAATTTCATTAAGCGAACATTTATTCAAAGTACACTTTCGATTGTTTTGATGGCATACTTGGAAAAATACAGGCCAAATGCAGATTAGAGTATGTTGTTTTTGGGGTACTAGTGAAGAATTAAGGATTCGAATGTTTTCTACTACTGTTTTGGAATTTTTGGGATGTTAGTAAATCCAAATTAATAAATTGTATTTTAATAGGTTGTTATGGGATGTTCTTATCGCGGTTAGTAATATAAAAATATTCGGATGCATGAATTCGACTAATGAGTATCTTGCGCCTTTAATTGGTATCTCGTCACGGGTGCCTTCGAGCACCATCCAGAGGTACCATATCCGCGATTACTAACAGAAAGACAAGATTGCTTTTTATTGTTTATATTGATTGTTTTGTGCTGTTAGACGGCAATACAAAGAACGAGATCTGAAATGTCATTTGGCAACCAATAAATCAGAAATATTGCAATGATAATAATGCAAACATGGCTACCACTAGTTACCTTACTAACCACCTTATCAACTAATCCGTAGCAGTAATCTCTTTGCAATTATTTTTTTTCTTCCAAATTATTCCAGTTCGCGTCCCTAGTTTTACTAATGCCTACCATTGTAGCTGTATCGGCGTATTGTAAGCTCACTTCAGTGGGTTGTCACTAACGACCAACTTCTACTCCAGGCATTCATGCGTTTACATTCTGAGGGCTAGGATGAATATGACTTCCTATGGATATAATTAAGAGTTCCAGTTCCAGAATTTCAACGTGGGCGGCGGCATTTATGTTGAAATCTTTTTTTTTTATTGCCCTTGTAGGCAGACGAGCATACGGCCCACCTGATGGTGAGTGGTTACCGTCGCCCATGGACTTCAGCAATGCCAGGGGCAGAGCCAAGCCGCTGCCTACCGCTTAATACTCTCCACAAGCCTCGTTTGAAAAAGGACATGTCATAGCGCTCGGGAAACACAGTGGAGAGGAGCTCATTCCATAGCCGGATGGTACGTGGCAAAAAATATCTCTGGAAACGCACTGTGGATGACCGCAGTGGCTCCAGGTAGTATGGATGAACTCTACTCCGGTGGCGGGCGGTGCGATGGTAAAAACGAGATGCCGGTATCATCTCGAACAATTCCTCAGAGCACTCCCCATGGAACATGGAACATACGGAATCTCTATGGAAGCCATCAGGGAACAGGTGGACTGCGAGTTAGACCGCCTATCACTGTAATAAACCAATGATGTATGAAATACTGCACCCCCGGTTTCCCTTAGATAGATGTTTCTTTTTAACGTAGCATTGGAATTTCCCACAAAATATGCCTAAATTATAACGTGTAATGTGATCGAATGTTACCTACCTATATGTTAGTATCTTTAGTATTGTAATAATCTAAATATACTGGAAAGAGAACAGAATTAAATTAAAGTTTAAAATCCAATTACATTGTTTAGTACAACAATACGTTACACATCAAATTTTGATGTAAATTGTTTAGTTGCATTTCATTATATATCGTTTATAACATATAAAATACTCACACATAAAATTCTTCTTTCTGATTAGAATGTGTTACGGAAGGTTCATTGTATAATAAAAATAGATATAATACAAGACAAGATAACAAAAGAATAAAAAAATATATCAGAATATCATTTTTTGTAAAACAATTGAATACATTGGTATACTTCTTGTACAATATTCTTTTGATGGGTGATTTTTATGGTTTCTAATAACAACTAAAATACATTTAAGACGTTTAACTTTTTTTTACATTACCTCAAATGAAAACAAATTTATTTTTCTCATTTTTATTGGTCAACCGAGGCTACGTTTTTATTACGCAGATTTATATTGGTGTCTGGAAGGATAAAACGGGCTCCTACCGGCAAATAACCGTGGGCTAAGTTACAATAATCTTAGAAAATCTGTATTAATGTACCGGGTATCGGTAAAACGCGGTTTCTTTGCGAAATTTATCGCCGCCCGTGGTGTTACTTATTACCAGAGCTCAGCCAAACTTGAAAGGTAAATTCTCTTTCTCGGCTTTTATAAAGCTTTGGTGTTTAGTTTCCGAGGGAACCATTTCAAATCTTTGTGCTTTTCTCTCGCTTTTATTTATTTGCTTTGGATGTCATTTTTATTTTGTTTAAGTGCTTGAAGCCTATGTGGTTACACTCAAGCCCAATCTTTTTTATTTCAAATATGGATGACTTCACAGCCCAACTCATTTTAAGTGATTATCGGATCTTGTATGTTAAGAAGTTAAGAAGTAAAGAAGAGTGAAGATGAACAGAAGATCATCGTCAACGACTTTTTTTTTTTTTACGCTGGGGTATCCATTTACGGATACCCGGTCGAGGGGGGTAACGGACCCGGTTATGTTGGACTCCGGCGCCTCCTGAGAGGAAGAAGGGGAGAAGAAAAGGGCCGAGGTCCTTCACCTCCCCCAATTTCTCACAGGAGACTACGCCTTGAAAAAAGCGCGCGAAGCACTTGCCCCGCAGAACGACTACCGACTAAACCCCATCGAGCTCCACCACACCGACTACACGAAACTTACGGTACCGCGATGCGCGCCGAAAGTCTCGCCTTAGGCGGTACCCGTACTAATGTTAAGACGGGATTTCATCCCCGGGAAAATCCCGTAGAACCTCGTCTCGGGAGACACACCGTGAGCGGCNCACTTGCCCCGCAGAACGACTACCGACTAAACCCCATCGAGCTCCACCACACCGACTACACGAAACTTACGGTACCGCGATGCGCGCCGAAAGTCTCGCCTTAGGCGGTACCCGTACTAATGTTAAGACGGGATTTCATCCCCGGGAAAATCCCGTAGAACCTCGTCTCGGGAGACACACCGTGAGCGGCGCACAGGAGCCACCTTGTACCGCTTCACCACCGGAATCGTCAATGTCCTACCCAACGCGCTCAAACCTGCATCGCTCCAACCAGCAGTTCATCACCCCTGCCTCGATAGGCAGGGAGTCACAAGCCCGGGCAGAGGGGGATTCCCGAGGCCCGTCCCTCCAACCCCGTAAGGGGGCGCGACAACCCTAAGATGAATGTGAATGTCACCGTTCACCGTTGAGATATGAGGTGAAGGGTTGGATCTAGTTTCGTAATAACAGTTGTCTGTAGTCCGTACACTAGAACCCAAAACCGTATTACTGCAGGAATGGGCAAGATAGGGGTATCTTCCCGTGACGGGACATAATAAACAATTTATAGTAGGCCAATATTGTTTTTACTCTGTAGATCTAAAGATCCGAATGTATGAATATTCTGAATTTTATATCTATATAAATTAATAGAAGCCCATCGTTATTTTAGTGATTTAATTTGACACGAAATAGTTCTCTTTGTAATTTATGTTCACAATATTTAATCGCGAATATATTTAATTAAAATGATCATCGCAACGCCAGTTTTGCGCTCTGTTCGATATAAAAGAATACGATAACAACAACGCTGTCAATAAGAATCTATATATTAATACGTGAAGCAAAAACTTTGTATCCCTTTTTACGAAAATTGCGCGGACGGAGGAGTATGAAATTTACCACACTTATAGAGAATATAGAGAAGAAGTGCATAATGCTAATATTTTTTTAAAATAATGCAATGAAGATACATTAAATCAATAAACAAAACATTACACACACTACATACTATGTATTTCACGCACACACGCATGCATACTATTTATTGTCAAACTTTTGTTCTTGACGTTTGTTGTCAAATTGAGATTAAATATTGTTTGTTTTTGTTAATATTTTTTATAGTGTAGCCTTGGCGAAATTTGTGATTATAGAAGTATAAAATACAATCATAATAGTGTACAAACTTAAAATTCCAATTAATTATAGTCGAATTTCGACTACTGCGGGACCTCTAGTCTCAATAAAAGCGCGTTTTTTTTTTGTCTATATTCAAATCATACCGGTTTCCTTTTGTTTACTGATAAATACCACGATGGAAATCAATAAAGTTCGAGAGATATTTACCTATGAAATGTGTGTTTACGAAACAATATTTTATTACAAAAAACTGCGTGAATTTAACGCACTAACAGACATGAAGAAACATATACGTTTTTTAACGCTGTGACACCCTTAATGGGCACCATTATTGGAAAACGTTCCTTTACGTTGCTTTATTTACGCTCTGAATAACCCATGATTGTGTTCTTGGCTTTATTTTGTAAAGGACGTCATTACGAGAATGGTGTTCTTTTTAAGAAACGCTTCGATAATCTCGAACCTCGTTGTGCTAATCACGTTAGTACGTAGTACTACTGTGCTATAATTATTAACATACTGCAGATGATTACTGTTTTGAATTTAGATATATTTGGGATTAGGAAAAGGATAAGTTTTAGGACTCACTCTGTATTTCGTTGATGCACTATTCAATTTTCTCACTGGCGAGAGTTCTATGTGCTGATTGATCAACAAATCACAATTTTATCGTTATTACACCGGCACCATGTTTTAGATTTTTTACACACTTCGCGCTATTTTCATACGCGCGTAGTTTTTCTTGTAGTCTCAACAGATGGCGTGGATAGGGGATTGAAGAAGGAATAAGGAAAAGGAAGTCCTAACAATTACTTAGTTTGAAAATTGGCTATATAAATAAATAAATATGCAAAAGACTAACTACACCAAAGTGCTCATATAGGCGGACGAAATGTTCTCGCTGCTACTACTGTTGCTCGTAGGTCCAATCAAATCTATACATATAAATAAAATTGGAGTGTCTGTTTGTAATATTGAAATAGCTACTTTTTACTACATGCATTGAATATACATACACCAAAATAGCATTTTTTTTATCTATTTCTTCCGGCTAATCTTTGGAACGACTTGACCGATTTTGACGGGACTTTCACTGATAGGTAGCTGATGATATAAGAAGTAACTTAGGCTAC